TTAGTCCTGTCTGCGTGCCCCGATGCTCGCTGCGCCGTTTCCTCCCTGCGTCGTTGTGCCCATCCCCCCACCCCACTCCGCCTCGCCGCCACCGGTCCCCCGCAGCGCCGTGCCCCATCCCATGCGGCCTCCTCCGCGCCTCATTCCCCACTGGGCCTAGTCTGCCTCACCTGCCTCCACTACGTTGCCTCCTCACCGCGTCCGGCCCGCTCGCCGCGACTGCCTCCACCGAGCTAGCGAGCCGTGGCCGTCTCCACTAAGCCGGCGAGCCTCAACGCGGATGCTCCATCCAGTAAGCGAGGAGGACGAGATTCGTGTGACGCCATGCTAGCCGACGAGTTGCCCGTGCCACTGCCGCACAACGAGGTCCATGCATGTGCCGCCATTGACCTCCACGCCGGCGTGCCTCCATTTGTCCAAGCAAAGCCTATGTTACAAGAGTATATTTTAAGTGTTTCAGATGTTTCATCTGAATATTGCAAGTGTTTCATCTTGATGTTGCAAAAGTACATAGGAATATTGCACATGTTGCAGTGGCCATACACATATGTTTCAAGTGTATGTTCCAAATGTTTCATCTCGTTTTCCAGACATATATATGTTTATAAGTGTTTCATCTTGGATGTTGCATATGTTTTCACACATTTGAAGTTTTTTCAGTTGTTTTCTTGCAAGTGTTTGATACGCATGTTTCGAGTGTTTTAGCTTATGTTGCAAGTGTTTTACCTGGGTGTTTCAAAAGTATATCTAGTGTTGCAGCTAGTGTTTCAGATGCATATTTCATGTGTTTCATCTGCCTTCAGACGTATGTTGCAAATGTTGTATCCAGATGTTTCAAAAGTAGATCTCGGGTGTTGCATCTCTGTTCTCTCTACTGCGTCACCTTCGCCTCAGTGTCTTCTCCTCCTTCTGGCACCGACTGGGCATCCGCCGCCCCCTTCCCCTCTTCTGGATGCTGGCGTAACCACATGCTGTAGTTGTTGGCCGCGTGCATGCACGTGAGAAGCGGACGCGGCACGAGCGCAGGACTCCCCACGTGCAGTCGGGCGGCAGGCCCCCCGTAGGGGGCGCGGGCTGCAAGTGCGCGCGGAGAGACGGAGTGCAGGCGCGGGCATCCGTCCGGAGGTCCGGGCGCTAGCACTAAGAGAGGACTCCCTCAAGGATGTCATTTTCCATGGTCAAATATCTTTTGTCTATGCACTTTGTTTCTCTAGTTATGTCTGTAATAACCCCAAGTTCTGTAATGCGAGTGCCCATGAGCTAGCTCGCTTAGTACGTAGGCTTAAAAAAAGGACCGGATCAGTACCTTGTTTGGGTTTATTCCCTCCCCTACCGTTGTACAAACTCTTTTGGACCGTGATCTCACTGATGCCGCCATTGTGGAATAAAAGCAGCAAGAGATTGAACGACGTAAGAAAGGGCGCGCTCGCACACACCACCACAAGAAAAATCATGGTTTTAAAACTTGACTAGATCCGCTAGACCGTATAGAGTATAAATGTGGCATAACTTAATTTTAATGCATATATAAGCAGCATAACCTTTTATAAGAAAGAAGTACCAGTTCGTTATAATACTTGAATCATGGACTAGCGTGATGTAATCATGAAAATTCCCATATATAAGATCAACCAATTTAAAATTGAATGAGTACTATTACTGACGTCTGATGCCATAGATCAGCTTACCATGTAACAGCTGTGCAAATGCATGATGTGAAAGATGCGATTCCTCATACTGTATTTTAGTGCCACAAGCGGGATATCTTTTTTTTTTTTTGTGTGTGGGGGATATCTTTTTCAATATGCATGGGGCCTATATACGTACGCGTGCAGCTTCATCCAAATCCCATTTGGAGATACACACGCTATGCATGCTACTCTATTTAGGCGTGGTGGACAATCAAGATTTGGATCTTGTAAAAAAACAAGTTATATAATTGCAATACATTTTCTTTCCTTGCCCGTATTGTTTTAGTTTGTTTCTATCCAAACTCATCGGAGATGTTTGATCCGTGTTGTTCTCGCATACAAATCATCTCTCTTGATGTGTTCCTTATTAATAAACTAATATAAGCATCTGTACTACGGATACAAAATTGGAATGATGTATCCATGTCACTTTTTTTGCGACATAGAGCCAAGATTACGATCTTCAGTTAGCAGATGACACTAGTATATAAATAATTTTTAGGAACGCCTCATATTTCTTTGAAAGACAGTCTACTTAGCAAACCGTTTGTAACTATCCCAGAGAGTACTGTAGCTTATAAACCACCTCTACAAATGCATTTTTAGGAGCGGTTATATTAAGTAAACCGTCACTAAAAATATATCTATTTTAAACGATTTGTTTAAGATAACCGCTTCTGGAAAAATGATTTTCAGGGACGGTTTTTTATCAACCGCTTCTATAAATAGGTGATTTTAGAGACGATTGACATAAGTCAACCACCCCTAGAAATCGATTTTCAAAGATAGTTGACTAAGTCAACCGCCCTTAAAATAGTTAGAGCACAAATAAATTGATAACTTTTTCAAATAAAGTTGGATGGAAAAGTTATATCAAAATTATAGAGCTCGACGAGGTCTAAAACTTTGTAGTTGATGAAATTTTTATTCGAGATCGTTTAAGGGCCTAGATATAAATATATATTAAGTTCTCGGTTTTAAATTTGAAATTTTTGAATTTTTTATCTTGGATGGAGAAAAGTCCTATATCGAAGTTGTAGGGTTCGACGAGATCTAAAACTTTGTAGTTTAAAATTTTCTCATTTAACATTGTTTACGAATCAAAATATTGATTACAAGATTCATACATATTAGTACAAATAGACAACATCATATAACTAAACAAAGTGACTATGTGGTGTGGTGGTAGAGGATGGAATGCGTGAAGCTAGAGGTTCTGGGTTTGAATCGTGGCGGCTGTACTTGCTCAAAACAAACGAAAAATAAATCTTTGTGAGCTGTGCTTGGTCCTTCGGGCTTCTAGCCACATTAAAAATATTTAGGCCGTAAGGGTGCCACCTCGCTCTCCCACCTTCAAAATTCCCCACCTGATCATGAAGCACGACAGTGGTCGATCGCTTCCTGACAAGAGTCCGGATAGAAAGCGCAATTAGTATTGCATTTGATCCACCCTTCTTGTGGTGCACTCCATCTTCTCGTAACTTCAGCCGCAGTCTTCTTCTTTGGGGTTTTAGTGATCTGCCAGATGCCCCCGCCAAGCTCTACCAAAGCTCTGTCTTCGTGCCCCCGCGAGGTTGTGTCAGCCACTCCTAGCATAGGGTCCCGCCAGGGCATGACGTAACGTGCCAAGGTTGAGCCTACGGTCATCGCAAGAGCACACCCGGGCCTGCAGGTCAGCCTCTCTCTGCTTGTGGCCACGTCCTTAGAGTGCGACGAACGCCATAAGGAAGACAAGCCCGAGCAAGACATAACGACAACTCTAGTTCTAGGCTCCAGCAGAAGATGCCACGATCGTTGATGAGGGACGGTGTCCGACACCACCACCAATCTAAGATTAGGACACTAAACTCTAGAAACTCTCAAGAATCACATCTCCTTGTACTCCCCTCACCTTCCGGTATATATAATGCAGGAATGAGGCTCATGTAGAGGAGATTGACAGCAAAACCCCCGGATCGAACCCTCTCCTACCATCTCTCTTTCTTTCTCCTCCATTGTAAGAACTTGATTGTGCATTCTAACATGAAGAAACGACTACTGGACATAGGGATTTGACGCCGAACCAGGATAGATCCTTTGTGTTGTCTTGAGTGCTAAACCACCAAAGTCACACGCATTGACCCACTGATCGAATCACTAATCACTGCTGTGGAGTCGAACCCACGATAGCCACAAGACCATTTTCGGAGGTAGTCCTTAGATCTATCCGTCTCTGTTAATCAAAGAGGTTGTTTCCTAAAATCCTTTTTTTCTTGTAATGATATATGTTTTTCTTAACAATTCATATGGGGATCCAACTATTAACGTTCCACCAGAATCTGCACGGGCTATTTGGTTGAGAAAGAGTGATTATCTCGGACAACCTGCTCCAAGAATCGTAGCCAAACGGCCCCTAAAAGTGAGCACACAAACAGAAGCCCTTATTGCACACTCATACATACCGTCACACACACACACATTCCCGGCCAGACGCCATCACGTTGCCGTCGCCGCCGTCGTCTCCAATCATACGTGAGCTAAACCTTAAAAGGAACCCCTCCTTCTTTTTCTCTTTTATCCCCATATAGGTTTCTAATCTCCTCCTCCGCGGATCACGCACAAAGACGCAAACTGACTGAAACGCCATCATAATCTTATCGTATAGAAATGAAGATTAAAAAGCGAGGGCCGGGGGAAAAGGCTTGCCAGTTTCATCGATCGCGTTCCACGTAGGATCGGATCAGTATATACATCGGAGCATCAGGAAACTGTTTGGCCTCGATCCTCTCGCTATCCCTCCATCGGCCCCATGACTTCCCGGCGGGGATGGATAACTTGCGAGGCTGCGCCTCCTCGTCAGGCGAGAGGCGATCCGGATCCGGGGGCAGTTCTCGTGCCACAAGCATGAGGCATGGCAACATGGCGTCGATCAGTGGCGCGCGTTGGAATCTTCCACCTCAGCCTCAGCCTGCTGTCGCGCGTCCGATGTGACGTGCGCCCGCCGAGCCCGAGCCCCTGGAGAGATAGCTAGAGGATAGCGACGGGAGCTTATTGCCTGGCAGCATGACACAGCAGGGGCACAGCAGTTTCTTTTGCTAGCCAGCCCGCCTCCTCCTGGCTTCCTCCCTATAAAAGGATCCGGCAGGAGACCCAGCCACGCTCAAGACAAGTCTAGTTAAAAAGGCAAACCGGCATGCAGAGGCTGCAAGAGATAGTTATTAGTTGATCGAGTCTGCTTGTTCATCTATAGCTAACGATATATAGCTACAAAAAAGAAGGAATCATCCATCGGCAGGCAGGCAGAGGCAGGGAGCTAGTAGGGAGGGAGGGATGGGGCTGAGGGAGATCGAGTCCACATTGCCGCCGGGGTTCAGGTTCTATCCCAGCGACGAGGAGCTGGTGTGCCACTACCTCTACAAGAAGGTGGCCAACGAGCGCGCCGCGCAGGGGACCCTGGTGGAGGTCGACCTGCACGCGCGCGAGCCATGGGAGCTTCCAGGTGAGCACACAGCTAGCCCCGGTCATCTCGATCTTACTCGATCTTTCTCTCTATCTCCCATGCATGATGTGCCCTTCGTCTCTCCTGCTCATGGTTGTTGTATGCATGTTCCACGAATCTAAGCTCCCATGGATAGATGCCTCTCGGCTCTTGATCGATGAGGCGTTCATTCCTTGTACGATTATTCGTGTCAGTCATTAGTACTCGGCGGCCGGTTCACCTATTGACAGCTTTGGGAATATGATGACGTTAGCTTAGCGTTTGCTTGCTTATTATGGAAAATGGAACCAAGCAACGATGTGTGAACTTTGCTGCTGCTGCTGCTGCTGCTGATATAGGTATCTAACATTATTGGTGCCCTTGGTAGTAGCGAGAAGCAACAAAGATAAAAGGCTGCGTGCATCAGATGCATGGTGCAGAGCGCTGGAACATGCATGCATGTTCCAATTATCTAAATCAAACAGCAAGCAATGGGACGTCTTTTGTGATCGATTTTCTGTTCATTACATGTGTTCGTTAAATTCACCGAAATTTGCGTGATCATTTCACGTATATTGTTCTTCGACATTATATTGCTCATGTGTAGGACTCACCGAACAAAGATAACAGACCACACATGATGATTTTTTTTAAGAAAAAAGTACTACAGATAGATCACCAACCATGTTTAGGAGTATATAGTTTGGAGCCGTGTTTTTTTTTTCAAAAGAAACCGAGATGTTGATTGGACTAGTCACCTGCTAGTTACGTTGATGCTGTCTCGTACGTACGCGGTACGTGTCGTTATGTCGATCCTTCTAAACTAATGTTCCATATGCATCTGCAATAATGACCCTTAATCAATATATATTCCATTTGCATCGGGTGTAATCTCTTTCAAGAATAATGAATTAATTGATCATATCCCAACGCACAAGCGTCTCGCTTACTCGTCGCCATCTTGATGGCGCCCTTCAATTCCAGTCCATTTCCTTGCTACGTCACATGAGTAACAGCCACGATTCTTTCTTTCAGTTCCTTCAAAGTTTCACTTTCATCCCGGTGACCGACCGATCCATCACTTATCTCAGTCTCAGACCTGTGTATGTATATACGCATGTTTTCCAGACGCGTTGAATTAATTAATAATAAATAAATTTGCTGCACTTGTGTATGGTGTCTCGATGGATCGTGTTAGACGCGGCGAAGCTGACGGCGAGCGAGTGGTACTTCTTCAGCTTCAGGGATCGCAAGTACGCGACGGGGTCGCGCACGAACCGCGCCACCAAGAGCGGCTACTGGAAGGCCACCGGCAAGGACCGCGAGGTGCGCAACCCGGCCACCCGCGCCGTCGTCGGCATGAGGAAGACGCTCGTCTTCTACCAGGGCCGCGCCCCCAACGGCGTCAAGTCCTGCTGGGTCATGCACGAGTTCCGCCTCGACTCGCCGCATACGCCACCAAAGGTACCGATCGAGATCGACTACCGTGTGCGTGCGCGCGTCAAATCGGCTGCCCGGCCAGCCGCCAAGACCTTCTGTTCCTGTATGTGTTTTTGCTGACTCGATCTTGGTGCGCACGTTCCTGTGCGTGCGTGCAGGAGGACTGGGTGCTCTGCAGGGTGTTCCAGAAGCGGAAAGACAGCGAGCAAGACAACGGCGGCTCCTCGTCGCCGACCTTTGCCGGTGCATCTCAGTCGCAGGGGGTTCTGGCGGACCAGCAGCCCAGCATGATGGACGCGTACGTAGTAGACCAGCCGGGCTCTTCCGTCGGATTGGCACCGCCGCATCAGGAGAACCTGAACCTCGGCGGCGGCCTGGACGCGTTGCTGATGAACGGAGGAGCGATGTGGCAGTACACCTCGTCGTCGGTCTTCGATCACTTCCCGCAGCAGGAAGTGAGCAGCTCACCGATGATGGGGCTAGTCTCCAGGGGAGGAGGAGGAGACGGGTGCAGCTTCTTCTACGACAGCGGCTTCGAGGACATGGCCAACATTGGGGGCATGGGGTTCCCACAGGGATGGATGGGCTGAGGACGAACTGAGGAGGCACCAATTGCAAATGCGTACGTGGTGAACGTACGTACGTGCAGTCATAGGAATATGGGATGGACTGTGCATTGTGAAGGAAAAGGATTGAATTGATTCCATTAGTAGTAGTACCCTCTAGTATTATTGTACAGTTGGTACGTAGTGTGAGGTTAGGTTATTGGAAATTAGTAGAGTGCACCAAAAAAAACAACGGAAAGAAAAGTAGAGTGCATATGCGCATAAGATAGATCGATGGTTTGGTTCACCTGCATGACGACAACTGTATATATATGTATCTCTTCACTCCTACTATTATATGTTTGTAAATTAATATAAATCAATTTAAGTACATGCATGTGTGTGGCACACAAGAACGGTTACTGATCAAGGAGGTGTCATTTTCATTTGCTTCATATGACCATGAGATAACATACATATCAAGTATAAGTGTTTCTGAATATACTGAAGGTTTTTCTGATTGTTCCAGCTGATTTATTTATTCCTACATTTCTATTGAACTTATTGGTACACGAAACTCACTCTCTTGGGTTTCCTGATTTAATTTGTGGCAGAAAAAATTGCACAACAATAGTTTCCTAGCTTAATTGATTTCTCTTTTTCATGTTTTCTTTTTCTTGTATTCTTCCAGAAATACGTAATAACTCATCTGCCTTTTTTATATTACTAGCAGCCCGTGCGTTGCAATGGGAGAAAATTAAAAACTTATATCTCTACTTAGTTACTAAAGATATGTATATTTTGCATTTAATCCATCTGCAATGATGCAATAATTACATTAGAACATTGACCGTCTATAAAATCGCAATTTGGAATAATGCTAGACAAATTAGCAAAATCCTTATGTCCTGCAAAATAAGTAGAAATGTATAAACATATATTGTTTTTGAATCAAATATATAAACATATTTAATTATCCATGAAAGAGCGGAAAAGTTCAGTGGAAAAGAGGAATCCCTACAGGCAGCCCGTCTCGCTCGCTAGGGCCCGCCCTAGCGGCTACGTCCGCTTGGCCGTCGCTGTCGCCAGCGGCAGCTACCTCGCCGGTGTCCGCCACCTCCTCCCCACCCCCAACAGGTCGTCGTGGCCGCCTCGCCGCCCGGCCACCACCTTCTCCCACGGTGCCACATGTGCTATAGCGGCGCAACCTCTGTTGCCGCTTCCCGGTTAGATTGGACAATAAACTGCCCAAAATTTCTATTCGTGATTTAATTAATTAGACCATTAGCTGATCTAGGTTATAATAATAATAATTTTTATTCTTAATCAAATTACATCAATAATTTAGTAGTAGCAATATTTGATTATTATAAGTATTAGGGAAGGATGAAGGATCCAAAGATCCATAATATTGTGTTTATTATTTATTTATATGTTTATAAGAAAAATCATGAGAGAATCGAGAAAACAAAAATGACATGCAAAAAATAAGGGAAAGAGCATGAAATGGACCTGATAGTCCAGAAAAGAAAAAAGAGAGAAAAGGGAGAAGAAAATACAAAAAGAGGAAATCAGAAAAAAAAGTGGAACGAATACGAAAATGAAAAATGGATGGGATACGTAACTGATCGAGATAGTCTAAAAGCGGAAAAGGCCGAAACAGATGATGGAATAGGAAAAGGAAAAAAACTGAATTTACTATATATATAGTAATTGTATTGGGTATGAACTTTTTTTGCATATGAGTATGAACTCTTTGGTTAAACATCGACCATATACAACTCAATACGTTTTGGAATCGGACTCCGTATCGCGCTAGACAAGATTTATTCTAATTCGTATGAACATGTGTTATTTATATATATAAGTCTAGACGTAAGAAACTCTTGACTACCGGTAGATACGAGGTGGACGAAAAAAATGGATGGAAGAAAAAAAACAGCAGAAAATTTTGCCTCTTTATTATTAGGTATAGATATAGATGAATCACAGTAAAGACACAGACGAAGCAACTCTATTTAATAGTAAAATATGTACTATGTTGCGAGTGACTTGAAGAAAATAAATCGGAGCCAATATATCCTGATTCCTGAGTTCAAGACATGAAAACGCAATTCAAGAAAAATAATGCATGGCCGACGCTTATATTTCATGTTTTCGTCGTTTCAATGAGAAAAAAAGATTACTTTTAATGTAATGCAATATTATATTTGGCTGTATAGTTGCATATACTCGATCCCTCTATCTTTAAATAAATCAATTTCTAGAGTTGTCTTAAATCAATTTTTTCTAAGTTTGACTGAATTTATAAAAAAAACGTCAAGAAGTTTCACCAAATAATGCGTGAAGACAGTGTGGGAAGTGAGAGAAAAAAAACACTTTTGGCAGGTTGATATTCTTACAATTCCGGGCTCCTCGAATATATTTTTTTTAAAAACTTGAATTTCCAAAAGACAAACGTTGCTATCAAGAGAGAATCAATCTCAATAGCTACGGCCATCGTTCCATCTCTGTATCTTCCAGCCATATGGCCAGGCTATCATGCATGGGAATCTTGAATTTTTGGCGTATGTTATGAAGACCATATGTCCTGTTCCATGTCATAACTAGACAAAATTATATATATACACACACATAAAAAAGAAAATCCTATGCAAGCTATATATTGGTACATTTGGTGCCACATCTCTAAGCAATGCTGGATGTATATATGTCTATAGGCCAAGTTGGCATGTGTACTTTGGGATGTTGCAGGTCACCGATTGATAGCTACTCACTCCATTCTAAATAATAATATGTTTAAACTTTTCTAAATAAAATGCTTTTACTATGTATTCAAATATAGCGTATATCTAAGTGCACAGCAAAAGCTATGTATCTAGAAACGATATTGATACTGTGCGGGCGTCAGTCACGTCCGAACGGACCCCGCATGATGCGACCGGCCGCGCCTCGCCTTATCCGACCGCGTCTCGCTCTGCTCGCTCGCGTCCTCCTCCCACTCCTTCACTCTGCTCGCCCTGCTCCTTCACTCTGCTCGACCAACCGCGCCTTGCTCTGTTCGCCCGCTCCTCCACTCTCCCCACTCCTGGCACGCAGCGCTCGTGCGCCGCCACCCCTCCCTCCCTCCCTCCGCGACCTCCATGCCACCTGAGAGGAGGGCGACGGCGGCAGCTTCCGGCGAGCCACCCTTCCCTCCCTCCCTCCACGACCTCCTTGCCACCAGAGAGGAGGGCGACGACGGCAGCTTCCGACGAGGTAGGTGTATCTGAGCCCTCCTCCTCCATCTCCTCCTCTGGATCTGAGCTCTCCTCCTCCTCCTCCTCCTCCTCTGGATCTGGATCTAAGGGACGCCGCGGTGGCTAGGGTTCCGGCGAGCTCTGTTGCAATAGCCTTGTTTTGCTGTTGCAACAAGTAATATTCCTTTGTTGCATTAGTCTTTTTTTATGTTGCATCTCGCATAGCATTTTGTTTCTGTTGTTGCAGTATCGTTGTTTTGCTGTTGCAACAAGTATTTTTCTTTGTTGCATTAGTCTTTTTTCTGATGTTGCATCTCGCATTGTGCTTTGTTTCTGGTTGTTGCAGTAACTTTGTTTTGCTGTTGCAACAAGTAATTTTTCTTTGTTGCATTAATCTTTTTTTCTGATGTTGGTTTCTCGCATTTGCGCTTTTGTTCTGTTTTTGTTGTTGTAGCCTTGTTAAGGTGTTGCAACAAGTAATATTTTTTGTTGTATTAGTTTTTGTTTTCTGATGTTGCATCTCGTATTGCAGTAGCTTTGTTCTGTTGTTGCAGCTGCGATGAGGATGAGAGCGCGATGAGGATGCATGCGCGCCTTAGCGTGGTATGCCTTGGCGGGGATGGGCGGTATAACGGGATGGGGGGGGGACGGGCCAGCGGTGGGATGGCGGTGCCTACGGGACGGAACGCGTCTACTGTTCCATGGGGCGGCGGGGCGCTAGGTGCTCCGTTGTTTTGGTCGGGAATTGAAATGAGTCTACTGTTCCAGGGGCGGCGGGGGCGTGGTTTCGCACGTGGGGGCGGGACACTTGGACAGCGCCGGAGGTACGTCCGGACGAGTCCCTGAATCCGGGCGTCAGGCGCTAGGAGCGCCGATCTAGAAAACCCAAATAGTCTTATAAGTTGAAATGAAGGAACTACCATTATATAAAAAAGAAAAAGATCTGGTTTGAGCTTCCATATCAGTTCGATTTTAATAACCCTCAAACATCATCAACACTATCAAAACCATCTTTTTCACCTCCGGTGTATTGGTCAGTTTAAAAAGCATTTTTATTGTTTTCAGAGGTGGTTTTGCGCATGCTATGCCATCTACCAGGTCACCTAGCACAGGCACGTCATCATCACCTCCCTTCTTTTCTTACACCCTTTCTCTTCTACTGTGAGATATGATGCTCTCATCCATCAATGATCTAGAGCGTTGTCGTATTGTCATGTTTCACCTAGATACCTCACGAGGTGGGCCTTGTGTAGGGGCGAATTCATGACTTGTATTAAGCGCGTGTTTAGTTCCAACCTTAAATTCTCAAAAAATGCTACAGTACCCATCACATCGAATCTTGAGATACGTGTATGGAGTATTAAATGTAGACAGAAAAAACTAATTGCACAGTTTTGTTGGAAATTACGAGACAAACGTTTTGAGCTTAATTAGTCCATGATTAAACACTAATTGTCAAATAAAAACGAAAGTGCTACAGTAACCCAAATTTCGTTGCTGCTGCCCGAGTCCAGTCCATTAAACTTCATGTGTGATGAATGTCGCTCCATTGTAACTTTGTATTAATAGGTAGCGTGTCCGTGCATTGTTACATGGTTATTAAACTTTTGTACTAAAAACACACGGATCGCACGATAAGATAACAATATTGTAAGACATTAAACTGACATTTAATTAAAAAGCAAAGTTTGTGAAATTAACAGTCACTAAGAGCACGACATCGTAGGCTCACAAACTCTACTATATAGACCTTTCCGCGATACGGCTAAAATAATGTTTTATATCAGCAAGAAGTCTCCGATATTACAAACTAAATGAAGCAATCAAATATGTCAAACAAACATTGATCAATTCACATATTTTGAACCTGTTTGACCAATGAAAATGCACAAAATAACTATTATATTAAACTAAATTTATGTCCATCATCTATTCAAAGTGCATGTCACGAGCGTGTAAATAATTTTAATATTATTTAGTTCTCTAAATCTATGAGACACGACACGGTGTCCTTAGCAAATTCTTGAACTCGGCGATGTCTGGCTTCATCAACAAGCAGACGATTGCGTAGGGCTATAAACAAATAAAAAACTTTTGGGTCAGTATTATAGTCAATAAATTAAATCAATGAATTACCCCAAAAGAACTCACTTTAAAAATCATGCGCCTCCTTTGAAAAGATCGTGCATATTCCCACTTTGAAAAGATCGTGTTGCAAATCAAACCACCAAAATGAGATCATGTTTTGGTTGCTATCATGATGCCTTAGAAATAATTTTTGGTTTATATGATTTATTAGTGAAGTTGTGTAGCCTCCAGAAATCCAATCCAAACAGGACCATAAAATTTTTAGGATTTACATGCTCCAAGAAATACATGGAATAAATTTTATAAAGAGATAAAAGGCGCTAAGCCTTGCATTAGCTAGAGATCCCAACACGCATCACATAGCCTCTGCACGTATCTATCCAAGACTCTTAATTACTATGTAATTAATCCTAGTTATTATGTAATTGCCTGTGCGTTGCAACGGGGACAACAAAAAATTTTATAAGATGACCGATAGTCAAGCCAAAATTGTGATCATGATAATTTAACTTTGCACATGTGGTATACCATGACAATGAGAAAATATGATTACAGATGAGCTAACAGATGAAGTCCTAAAAAGCAAGTATGAATGTTCAAACAAGTTCTACGGAGCAACAATCATAGATCTGGTAAACACAATGCATAAAACATAGATAACCCGATGAGGCCAACTATACCGCAAAAGACATACTCGGAAAGATAAGACAAAGTCAAATTACAAATGTTTGTGAGAAAAGAACAAAGAAATTGGCTGCACTAATCCCGTAGGTCTAAGATCTACGCTTCCATTGTCCTATGAACTACAAGACACCCCAACCTATGCAGTACATTTCATTCAGCCCGCTTCATGTCTGACTGCACAGGTTCCTATGAAAGTCAAACATCCATTTGCGAGTTCAAATTTCACATTACAGACATATTATAAGGGCAAAGATCATTTCAAGAGAACTACCAGTTCCATTACCTATTGTGGAAGCTATGCGACCTGTGCATAAGTTTCGCTTGATTGAACATCACAGGATGGCACATACATCGGCTGAACTATACTGGATCCACCAGATAGATGATGATGTACCTAGTTGTTGAGCCAAAATTATCTCTGCAGGAAAGTGCATAGTTCAGACTTTAGAATGTGCAAACCTGTTGAGGCATCCCTGGCAAGAAAGTATACTTCTTGATGTTGTTTTGAAATCTAGTAATTTCACATAATGCCACAACAGAAAGTATATATGCACATTTAATCTGTGAAGGCCAAGAAGAGAAGGGAACTTACCGAAACAAGAGCCATTTTTACCATAAACAGCACAAGGGAACCCAACCTAGTAGACAAGTGCCTGCAGCTGCATCAACACAAGGAAGTTAAGGTTCAGTGGAAAAAGGTGCTCAGACTACAAATATATTTTAAAGATGCATCCTCCCTTCTCCACATCTCTCCTTAGTATTTCCAGCAGCACATTAACTAAAGAAGAGGACAGGTTAATTAGATCATTCACCAATGTTAATCATAGTAGTGTCCTATAGCACAATTTTCAGTTCAAGAGGTTGGATAAGTCTTGGAATTCAGCATCTTTGTAAAAAAACCCATCAGCACAACACAACCCCAGCTCTGTATTAAGAGCAGAGCACATGACACATGTTTGTTGATGGCTTACATCACCCATTTGATGTTGCTTATATTGGGTGGTTCTCGACTTATGTTACCCAAACTAACATGCCAGGTCATTATAGTGACAATGTATAAACTGGATTCTTTTTAGAGTACCTATCCGTACTGCCTAATGCTGTGATAATTTCACCTGGATCCAAACTTTGAGCAACCTGTAATGTTTGCATTTAAGTAAAGTTTAGCACCTCAACACACTCATCCTTGATCAGAAAAGGTTGCATGCAGGGAGAGGTACAACTATGGAAGAACGCAGGATATCAGAGATATCGAAATAGGGAATTACCGGCAAGACAATTCCATGGTTCTCCATGTGTTTATCCAAAAGATACTCTGAAAAAATGTGTTGCAGTTTGAGAAATGAGATTGCAAAAGAAAAATATGGCCTCAAGAATAGCTTGCAGGTCCATCTTAATCCACTACCTACTCTGTTTCCCACTCAATGCACATGCACCGCATGACAAAATAAGTTAAGGCCTGCAATGGGAGGATGCTTGTACTATCTGTTTTTTTGGTAAAGGGCGATATCCCGAATGTGCCCTTCGCCACCCTTGCCACTATCTCTTCGGTCGCCACCCCTCCACAGTGGAGGCAGAGGTGGCATTCGACCAGGTTGTTGCCTGTCAACAGAATAACATGCTGTCACAAAGTGCAGGTGCTGTAGAGAAATGGTCTCACATGACATAGCCATGGCGAGCATCATGAAGCACCATCGGCATCATCCTCATTCCTGCCTGTGTTGGTCCTTTGCCTCATATCAAGACTCACGAGCTCCAAAATGTTCCAACAGTGTTTTTTCAAAAATGAAAAAAAGTTGCAACAGGGTAACAGCTACTCACAGTCTGACATTGGAACAGCTTTGCAAGATGTAATTTTTCAACTCACTCCATCCATTGTTCCTATAATACAGAATGTAAATTACTATTGGTCAAACATTAGTCATGTCTGTGAAAAGTAGTACATGAATGCAAATACATATAAGCATGAGGCGCAGTATTTCTAGTTCAGGAAAAGCATTGCTGATCCTAGCTAGAAACTTAGAACACAGATGTCCCATGCATTAGTTTTGACTCTAGAAAAATCACATCCCAACCTGATGCTAATATGATGCTTATAATTGCTAATGCAGCATGAAACCACTTGCAAAGCACAAGCAAAACAACGACATGGACACCCAACCAATGCCACATCTTCAGAGAAGCGTGAGCAGTACTGAAATATACCACAACATGTACATCATTTGCAATCATGATAAATTCATAAATTGTTCACCTAAATTACAAAAGATGCATCAGCTCCCAGATCATGATTATTAAATTTGTTCACCTAAATTGGGAACAAGAGGAGCCCCCAGATCATGACAGATGTGATGGAAGGTATAGCAAGAAACATTGAATCTGAATGACCATTAAGCATGTACAAGAGGACTGTGAAGCAAGTCCTGAGTTTATAAACTTTTAAAGCCCATAACTCATAAGTGAATCAAAAGTGTAAGTACGTTGATAGAAAATAGGTTCACTTTATAAATTAATTCAGAAGCACCAACAGTTGGAAAACTGCTAAGTGATTTTATGATCTTCTCTATCATGATTGATTTTAATATCCATCTCAGATTGGCAGGTGTTACAAGCAGAATTTTGAGCTAGGACTGTGAAAATGTACAATACAAAAATTAGAGGTCTATCAGATACTTCTAGGAAATAGGATTGCAGAAGTTGTACTATCTTTAAAACCCTTAACCCTTGATTTGGAATTTAGATCTATGATTCATTGATTGCAGCTAGTTTCGTTAAAGTGCAACAGACACAGAAAATGTGCCTTTCTTCCTGTCCCAAACTACCCAGGTATACAAAAATGGCAAACAATAAACCCTCATTTTTTTTGCCCGAAGTTGCACCAGAACACCATGGTCCAAAGTTCCTGAACACTACAAATCCCGAGAGAAGCCACATATGTGCACAAAATTTGGCCCAGTTCCAGACCGATGGCATCTTTCAATTTGTTAGTAGTAGCAATTTTGGAATCGCATAATGGAAAATAATGCAATGGTCCATTGTGCGATTCACAAACTGCTACTCCTGACAAATTGAATAGGAAATTCAGAAGGTAAGCCAAGAGTTGAATGTCTGAATTTGAACTTACAGACAGACAAACTCGGGGCTCAGCTCAGAATCGGACTCGCCTCGCTGATGCGTGCTGCCGGCCTACCGCCCTCCGCGGCTCCACCCGACGCAACGCACCAACCGGCGGCCGAGGGTCCCTGCCGCTGCCGCGCTGTCGACCTGGCGGCATGCTGTTGGTCCCGTCGATGCCGCCCTGCCGCTGAGTCAGCCCTTGCCACGGTCGCCGTTGCCTGCCGCCGGCCACCCGCCACTCGGAGACGCTGCTAGGGTTTGAGAGTCACCGCCGCCCACCACTCGGGGACGGCGCTAGGGTTTGGGAGTCGCTGCCGCCCGCTCGGGAGATGCAAGCCGCGACCGCGTCCGTGAGACCGTGGCTGCAGGTGCGGGACGGGAGCAGTGGAGAGTATGGTGGAAAGGCAGACGGCGGAGAAAGATCGCATGGGCATATTATAAGTGCACGGAGAGAGATCGCACGGGCGGCAGGACGATCGCACGGGCGGCAGGAGGATGGATGAATGTCGCATAAAAACTGTTTTTGTTTTATTTTTTTTTTAGTTATAGGAGATTTTTCTTCTAGAGATAAGATAGTTGCTCTAACGAGAGTGAGATTTCTACAAGAATCACAAACCCCTCAGCTGTAATATGAGAATAAAACTCAATATTATTTGTCGCATTGGAGTTTATGGTTTGATTTGGGGATTAAGAATTTGGAATGAGGGGCCATGCTAAACTCCCGTAGGCCAAAGGGCGCAGTCAACTTATTACACGACGCAAGATGGGAACATGCAGTTAGGCATCGATCAACGAGCGTGAATACATAGGACACTGGTCCTTGGGTTAGAACTATAGGGTGGTCCATGACCCACAAGGACCACCCTATAGCTCCATCACTAACCATGGCGACAGATAATGTCAGGTGGGAAGAGATGGTGGTCTTTTTGTTCAACATATTAGTCTCGACTAGCCCCATTAGTCCCGAGTTCAAGTTTTCTGGGCTTTAGAGGACATGTAGTCCCAATTGGTAACATCAACCCGGACTAAAGGGTCTACATTAGTCCTGGTTGGTATTACCAACCCGAACTATAGAGCCTTGACCTTTACTCTTTAGTCCCGGTTGGTGTTATCAACGCAGACTAAAGGACCCTTTAATCCCAGTTGGTGTTATCAACCCGGACTAAAGGTCCTCCAATGGGCTAGTTCAAAAGAAAAGCATCCTATCCAAGGTCACATGTGCTATGAAGGTGGGGTAGAAAGGTGCGCACGAGGCCATGCATGAGGTCTTGTGTTCAAATCCCACGAGCTGCAGGGGTGGAAGGTATTATTTTTTCAGCTTGGGAGGACCTTTACTCCCGGATGAGGCAACTGGGACTAAAGGACAATGATTTTAGTCCTGGATCCCTACTAAAGCCAGTTCTCAACCGGGATGGTTGCCCACTTCTCTACTAGTATGTCTTGATGAAGTAGGGTTAGCATAGGGTGGACGACAACAACAATGGATTTGGCAATGACTCGTCATCACGATGAAGGAGGGTGGGACAGGGGCAAGGAAGGTTAGTCAACAAGATAGGGGCTGGCAATGGCAACGTCGCCGTTGCGAGTGACAGAGGGCGGGGAAGGGGAGTTTATCACTGGCCAGGAAGAAGAGGAGGATAAGGGTCACGTTACTCAAACATCTCTTTGGTGAAAAGATGTTTTTGGTAGGGACCCTAGAATCAAAGATCTCAGTAAAAACAGAGGGGTGGTGGATAGGATCTTTGAGCAGCAATGCAGCTGCCACATGTAGTGGAAAGGGAGGCGACAGGGAGGTGGTCAGTTGCAAACGCAACCCTGGTTTTTAGGGCAGCACCAACACAAGTACTATTACTAACGATCATAATTTAGAATTCATGTTAACTAACGATCATAATTTAGAATTCATGTTACACATAGATTTGGATTGGTAAAGGCACACATTCTCCTAACGGAAATCAGTGGTCTTCTAATCCCCACCAATCTGTCCACGCGCACCAAAAGTACCTGTTGCCTTTTCCGTTTCTCGTCTTGCTTTCTACTTTACGCGCTTGAACCACACATTTCTGCTATGAGGCATCAGTGACCTCTGCAGACAATGTCTAAGCCACCGTTGAGCTTTTGATCTGCTCAAGGGGGACGTGCGCTGCGGGTGGGGGCAGGGTAGGCGGTGGTTCTCAGTGCATCATCGCCGGAGTCGGTTACAGAATTTATGAGGAAGAAGGCTTGAAGGTTGACGTGGACCAATTTGGATGGGCTGTATGCCTGTATGGGCTGAAAATGGTGTTCGTGGGCTGTACGTTCGTCTAACCGATGGGTTACATAGGATGTGCTGGGCCTGGCCTACCGGCTGCCGCCACAGCCCTGTGCTTGTAGGCCGGACTTGTACGGTGGGCCTCTTCCTCACCAGCGTCGGCACAACTGCACACGGTACGTGCATACGGTGTACTATGCTGTATGATGCGTATGGCGGACGACGATGCCGGCTCTCTCGTCTCTCTATCATCTGTTTGGTGCCCCCTGCTGGACGCCTCTTTGTTTGGGCCTGGACACTCTGTCAATTTTTTGGGGGGCGGGCTTTTGTGAGTGCGACAAAGAAACAGGTCTTTAGTAGCAAGTGCAGTCCACATCATCGTCCTCTTCGATCATCAGCATCATCATCATCATCTTCATATAGGGTATACATGATGCAGACCTAACACATGGTGGTCCTTCCAATAGTGCGAAAGATTTGTCAGTTTTCATTCAAAAACGGAAAAGCAAAGGCAAAGCGAGGCGCCTCTTCAAGATAAGCTGTCCAAAGTTTGTTGCGGGACGTGACACCCCGCACACATCAATTCAGTTTCAGTTCACCAGGTCCGTTTCATCCTGATACTTTGTCGCTGCAGCGGTGCCGGTGCAGTACTGCAATTGGGTTGCGCAGACGCAGAGCAGGAACGATGGCGACCAACAAGGTGGTGGACCTAAGGTCCGACACGGTCACCAAGCCCTCCGACGCCATGCGCGCCGCCATGGCCGCGGCCGAGGTCGACGACGACGTCCGGAGCGCGGACCCGACCGCGCGGCGCTTCCAGGAGGCGATGGCGGCGATCATGGGCAAGGAGGCCGCGCTCTTCGTCCCGTCGGGGACCATGGGCAACCTCGTCTCCGTGCTCGCGCACTGCGACGTCCGGGGCAGCGAGGTCATACTCGGCGACGGCTCGCACATCCACCTCTGCGAGAACGGCGGCATCTCCACCATCGGCGGCGTGCACCCCAAGACCGTCAGGAACAACGCCGACGGCACCATGGACATCGACAGGATCGTCGCTGCAATCAGGCCTCCGGGCGGGGGGCTGTATTACCCGACCACCAGGCTCATCTGCTTGGAGAATACACATGGGAAGTGAGTAGGCTGCCGATCTTGCTGGTGAAAAGACATTGTTTTTTTATACCTAAAGTAGTATGTTTGTTACTGCTTCTGCAGTTCTGGAGGGAAATGTTTATCCGTAGAATACACTGACAAGGTTGGCGAAATTGCCAAGAGTCATGGCCTGAAGCTTCATATTGATGGAGCTCGCATTTTTAACGCTTCTGTGGTGAGTAGTAGTAGTATGGTGTCTTTGTTCAGTCTTCTGATATCAATTTTATAGAGGACTGAGGTCTGAAATAAACCATATATCTAAGTAAGATGTATATAATTTGCCTCTTCACTTGGAAACTTTAGACATCTGTGCATGCGTCCTAGCCTCTTAATCCATTATATCGTTGTGCCAGGCACTTGGAGTTCCTGTGGACAGACTTGTGAAAGCCGCGGATTCAGTTTCGGTATGTTCCAATTTTCAGAGCACTATGCTCAGCTACTCTACTTATATGTGAATGGACTATAGATACATGTATGATAGTGCTTCTATTTCTCTTTGAAACTTAAACTTCAGGTATGCCTGTCTAAAGGTTTAGGCGCCCCCGTTGGATCAGTTATTGTTGGTTCAAAGGCCTTCATTGACAAGGTGTGGTCATTTGTGTTTCTAAGTTTAAACCGCTGCGTTGTGTAAAAAGAAAAGAACTGCAAGTTAGAATTGCAATATGAACAATACCTTCAGGCCAAAATTCTCCGAAAGACGCTAGGTGGTGGAATGAGGCAGGTTGGAGTTCTCTGTGCTGCAGCTCATGTTGCCGTTCGCGACACTGTGGGAAAGCTTGCGGATGACCACAGAAAGGCTAAGGCTTTGGCAGGTTTATTTTTCTCTTTTCTAAAAAAAACTTAGTGACAATTGGCTGTACGCTGTTTGAGGCCGGAATTATTCACTTTTCTAAAAAAACGGTTTATTTTTCCCGGAATATTTGTTTCCCGATTTTTTATCCTACTTGAAAAACGAAAAAAAAGTAATACACTGTTCCATTGCATTTCCTAGAAAACAAATCGCAACCATCATTGACTTGAAGTCCTGAACTTGTCACTCTTGTTCATTTGACTAGAGGGACTGAATAAAATTGAACAGTTCACAGTGGATTCAGCTTCAGTCGAGACCAATATGGTCAGCCTCCTACATTATTTCTCATTATCCACTATGCTTTGTAACTGTAAACGTCCCATTTGTAACATACCAATGCTTTGTAAGGTATTCATGGATATTGTGGATTCACGCATATCATCTGCCAAGCTGTGCCAAGTCCTGGGAACGCACAATGTGCTTGCAAATCCAAGGAGTCCAAAAAGGTGAAGTTCCTTTGCTGTTTAGTAGTTTTTAATAAGATTAGCATGTCAAGTATTTTTCTAATAAGATTTACAATGTACATTGTTTTTAAATATGATTTAAAATTTTCAATATCTTTGTTGATGCTATATATCGTATTACCATTCTTCTGGACTTTCTGGAGTATTACCATTACTAACTTCACTGAGACTACCAAAATTAGCAGTCTTTGAAACCCAGACAATACCATTATACTACTTCCATTCCAACTATTCATATGACGACCTCCTTTATTTATGCAGTGTCAGGCTTGTCCTTCATTACCAAATTTCAGATACCGATGTTCAATATGCAGTGACGTGTTTTAAGGTAGATATGCAAAAGCTCACGCCGTTTCTACTTTTAACTATTACTGTTCTGGTTCGTGTGTGGCAGTGTGAATGTCACTGATACGATTTTATGTTTTCAGAAAGCTGTTGAAGAGCTACTAAAGGGCAGTACTGAATTCGAGCATTTGGTGGATACTACTACCAAGAACTCCTATGGGCACTAGGACACCCTGATTCATCAGCTCGGTGGCCTTGCTTGTCTGTAATCAACTCGAAGATATTGTAGCTACACCAAAAATTTGCTGAATAAGTGTTGCTTTTCACTCATTTCTCGGATGTGTTCATTCTTGTACTTTCTGTCTATCTGCGCAGAATTGCCTGATCCTTTTCACTTCCTGGTAAGATGGATGTGGTGAAATGAAAATGAATAGGTCTTTCCCTAAAATGAAAAGGTAAATATGGCAACAGAAGGAAAAGATTTAGAAAAGAGCCTAGTAGTATGCAGAGAGGGAAGACAATGAAAAGCAAATGTAGAACCCAAGCATTTTTAATTAAAAAAAAACCAAGCATTTCATTGCAAATGCTGAAAATGGGCCTGTTCGCTGGTTGGTGTTGGTACTGGTTTGGGCTGGCTGGTGCTGTTTTTTGTGAAAGGAAAATACTGTTGGCTGGCTGGTTTGGGCTGGCTGAAACCAACAAGCGAACAGGCTGAATATGGCAACAGAAGGAAAAGATTTAGAAATGAGCTTAATGGGCCGAACCCTTGGAATTGCTCTCTTCTGCCTGGATAATAACATATGGAGCGAGGATGGGTTCGAGTTTGGGCTTTATGCTCGACACAACCTTTAATAACCTGTCCCCAGTCGTTTGAGACTTTAAGTCTGGATTTTATTTTACATCGTTTCGATTGGTTTTTTTTTATGGGTGCCATCACAATTCTTTGAGTTTTGAAAACTGCCATTATTATTCACCTATTTGAAAACATACCATTACGATTCGAAGTAAACCGGAGTCACGCCACTTTCTACTACGGCGAAGACACTGGACCCACCTGCAGTGCTCTGTATATTCGTATAGACAAAAATGCCCCCACTCCCACTCAATGACGCGTGGACCCTACAGGTCAGATCCTTCTTCTATCTCTGGCCAACTCCTTCGGTCCCCTCCTCTCCAATGGCGACGCCCCCGCACCCATGACAGCCATGGTCCTGCTAATGCCATGGCGAGGCGGCCTCCTTCGATGGCTGCCATGGCGAGCCCGCTGCAGCCGCTCGCGCTCGCGAGCCTGGCCTGGCGCCATGGCCACGCGGGAGCTCCGCCCAAGCCTCTCCCGACGCCGGCAGCCATGGCCCGTGGCTGCTTGTGCCTCACCGCCGGCACCGCCGCCCGCCGCTTTGCTCGCGCTCGTGAGCCCGGCCCCAAGCCATTGCCGCGCGGGAGCTCCGGCCAGAACCTCTCCCCGACGCTGGCAGCTGACCCGCAGCCGCTCGCGCCTTGCCGCCGCTCTTGCTCGCGAACCCAGCCGCCAGCTGCAGCCGCTCGCGCTCGCGAGCCCGGCCTCCTGCCATGGCCGCGCGGGAGCTCCGGCCAGGCCTTTCCCCGACGCTGGCAGCCATGGCCCGCGGCCGCTCGTGCCTGGCTGCTCGCCGCGGCGCTGCTGTGGGTGCTGGGCTCCGTGCAGGCGTGCACAACTGTCCCAGGTGTACGAGCGCGCCGGTGGCCGCGCGCAGCTGCTGTAGTCGAGCGTGCAGTTGCCTCAGCTGCTGGGGAGCCTGCTGTTCCTGGTCATCGACGAGCGCGGACGTGAGGCCGAGGAGGCGGGGCGGCGCCGACAGGAAGGAAAACCACCGTTGGTAGAGGAGATGAAGGGGATGACGAATGGAGCCCACCCGTCAGTGAGTAGAGCGAGGGAAGTTGCTGAGGGCAATTTCGTCCATACGAAAATACTTGTATTCCCTGAACACTGCAGCTGGGTCCAAGGCCCCAAATACGTATAGCGTGGCATTTTTCAAGGAGAGGGAGAATTGTAACGGCGTTCTTCGCAATAAGTGAATAGTAACAATACTTCTCTAAACTTTAAAAATTGCAATGGCACCGATCAAAAAGAAACCCTTTAGATTTAGGGGTTCAGGAAAGGCTTATCATTCAGGAAATGCTACCAGCAGCAGCAGGTATGAGTTGTTCTATCTTTACCACACCAAGCTAGACCCTTTGTCGTCTGCCGATGCCTCCAGTACAACTACCACATGTAGTGTCGTTTGTGAAGATGCTCTTCGTTCCTGTAGCTCCTTCAGTTGTTCACGCACTCCTCTCTCTGCTGGCCATGGCACCAGGACAATGCTGTAGTCTAAGCTACGCAGGCTGCACGCACCGCTGCGCCCTACGGCCCTAGCACTAAACATGAGCGTGCTACGCACCCAGAGCAGTGTCAGCGTCATAGGCATTGTGCTGGCTGCACACGTACAGTACAGACGCTGCTATCTGGATGGAGAGCTGCACAATAGGCAGTAACATTGGCATTGTTGGATGCTGGGTTAGGCCACGCTCACGCAAACACCCTTGACCAGGCGTCCAGGCGACGAGCGGGATCTAGCCAGACGATCCAGGCAGAGGCGACCGATGCAAACGGCCGCGGCCGCGGGGCCGCCTGCGCGCACTGACGACGGCACGGCAGGTCGGCAGTGCCTGTGTACCTCGGCGTCACAGCCGGAGCCCACCACGCAGCACAGAGGTGACGGGATGGGGCACGGCGGGCGACGAGACGCGTGCGTACAAGTCTCGTGACGAGACGAGATCACGAGGAGTCGAGGAGGCGCCGACGATCTCGCTGGCGAGGGCGCGGGGCGCACCCGTACCGCGCAGCGGCCCCGCGCTGGCGCCCGCCACCGCGGAAACAGTCGTCTCCCTCTCATGGGCCATATGTGCTGGTTCGGCCGTTTAGCTAGGCCCGGGCCCGGGACGGTTCTGGCCTTCTAGGCCCGCCCGCCCGCGCGCGGTTAGAAAACCAGGAGGACACGGGTAAAACTGCTGGGCCGGATGCATGCATTTGCATGGAGACGGCAGACCTATCTCAACTCAAGGCTCCACTCAAAAAAAAAAAAAAATCAACTCAAAGGTGTTTCTAGTAGTGAGGAAACTATCTCTATCAATCAAAAAACAGATCAGCAGATCAACTGAATCCAGACATGCATGATTGGTTAGCATGTAGCATAAAGGCGATTGTGAGTTCACTTCACCGGCTCCAGCTCCTTCAAGGATGCTGTAGCAACTAGCAAGTAGTAGCATGCAGCTTCGAACCACTGCTGGTCTCCGGACTAGCTAAGCAGCTCCGGAGAAACTCGACTGGTGTTTTCTGTAGAATCATGTGATCGTGTCTCGGCAGGTCGTGCTGCCCAGACAGCACTGAAAGTCAAGGCGCGGTCAAGAATGATGTAGTCCGATCTGTCTGCGCGATTGATGAGATGAGATGCTTGAGAAAGATTAGTCAACGGCTCTCTTCGTTTTGCTGAAAAACCATAACTAGAAATACTGTTCGTTGATGTATCGTGAGATAAAAAACTGAACAGGGCCAATGTCCGTATGACCGTATGTAGGAGTACATGTACATGCAGACTGGGCTTTTATTGGACAGAGAAAGGGAACCTCCAGTTCACTACTTCCCGGCCGGCCGGTAGTCTCCAAAAAGCACGAGAACACATGGCCATGCATCGTCAGCCCATCACCGAGTGATCACCAAGCTAAGACACCACACAGGCACCGAGTGATTAACTGCCTGATTAGCCGTCTTTCGAAACGTCTAGGAGCACACCTAGAAAGACTTCCACGCTAGACCTCCCAGCATCATGCTCTCGAATTTCTGTAGTACGACAGCGGCTTTTCGCTTCTGGACTCTGGGAGGCTGGACATGTAGGGCGCCTGGGAAGACGTGTGCGTCGTAATCCTAGATCTCTGGGGCTGTTTGCTTCTTTTATAATTCATTTTTTTTAAGCTTAATTTTTTAGTTGAAACAGTATTTTTCTCACGCAATGAATAAACCGAAACAATATTTTAACTTATTTTTTCAGAGAAATAAACGGTGCCTAGCATGCACCAATGTAGCCGGATGGGGCCATGGCCTTGTTTAAATTATTAAAGGAAACAGGAGGGAAAGAATTACTACGTCTGTCTACCAAAGAATACAACTATATGATAGCTACGCTGGTTAAAATAGTTTAAGTTTGACCAAATTTAGAGTAAATAGAATTCATATTTATGACCCTGTTCGGCTTACCCTATATCTGTCTTGTTCGGCTTCTTTTTTCAACCAGAACAATACTTTTCTCTCACAACAATTCAGCCAGAATAGTGTTTTTCAGGCAGTTTCAGCTAGCCGAACGGGGCCACGGTTTATTACGAAAATATATTTCGTAACTTATTTTCACTAAAAAAATGGTACTTATTTTATATTATAATTGTTATTATTTTTTCATAAAACTTTGGTCAAATTTTGAAGTATTTGATTCCTCAAAACATGAGAATTGCTTTCTTTTTTCGATGGAGGGGGTAAAAACAAACAGTAGCAAGCAAGTACAAAACACTAGTTCAAGAAACAAAAAAGGAAGTTAAGGAAAAACTAAATTACACAAGACTCTCTAGCCAAGAAGAAACCAGAGAAGATAACGCTCTTTTGCTTTGTAAATAACCAGAGCAAACACCATCTTGAAGATGCATTTGCACTAGAATAATGTTTACATACAATAGTGCTGAAGGTAGTTTTTGCATCTTTACATGTGGTTTCGCAAACCTTCGGTGTCAAAGACCAATGAAAATGGTGATGTTACACTAGCATAAGTTTGAGAACCGCCAATATAAATCCATTTACAGTGCCAATTGACACAACCTACTTCAAAGAAATGAAGATCAAAACCTTCCCCTTATATTTTGCAATTTCTGGACTTCCAAGGATGCCAATAATGGAAGTTGGCTTGATCTATACAGTTCTGGTCAGGAGAGGAAAAAGGTTATTTATAGAGTTTATTGTACAGGTGGCGGACTAATATAAATGGTTTTACACTAACAGTATCCTTAAAAAATCGCCTGTGTAAATCATATATGTACACTAGCGGTTTACTTAACACTACCTCTAGTGTAGAATCCATTTCACTGGCGGTGTTCTTAAGTCATAAATATATGATATAGACATGTGGTTTTCTTAAAGATACCATCAATGTAGGAGTATCTAAGC